GCAAGCTAGTTGGCAGTTCGTTCGTCTTTACTTCTCGGGCCCGTGCGAGCTCGTCTGATATCGGAATTTGATTCCGCTTTTTCTTGCTTGTAGCTAATGAAACGCTCTATTTAATGATGTTCACGGGACCCACTTATCATGGAAAATAAATTCTCCCGAAGCTTTCGACCTGCACACCAAAGACGAGAAAAACCGAAAAAGTACACGAGAAACAAAAGAAAACCGAAACAAAGCAAAACACACAATAACCTATAAAAACAAATAAAAACTAACAAAAAGACCTAAAACGGAGGAAAAAGAAAGGTAAAATAATAACGAAAAATGCAACAAAAATGGGACAAACACTCATATTTATGCACTCGACCAAGAGCAGGCCGCAGAGCAGCCAGGTACCATGTCTAGCATGTTATCATTGTTCCATACTCCAGTCTTCGTTTTATTCGATACCGGGGCGACACATTCGTTCGTCTCGACCAAGTGCTTATCTGCCTTAGGAGCCCAGGGAGTGAGTACTGTCGACCCTGTCGAGATCAGTATCGCATCAGGAAGGAAGATAATTACGAGTTCCCTGGCCAATAACCTTAGCATCGATATCGGAGGCCGAACTCTAGTTGTAGACGCATTTGTGATCGATATGAATGACTTCGACCTATTCTCGACATGGATTGGTTGACGAGATACCGAGCAGATATCCATTGTCGCGACCGGGAGGTGACGCTACACTTATCTGAGGGAGACCGCATCATGTTCTTTGGGACGAAGTCTCAAACTTTACCGCGCGTAATTTCCATGGAAAAAGCGACGAAGTACATGCAGCGAGAGGATTGTCAGGGATTTCCTGTCACTATCATTGGGGAATCTTCGGAGAAGCTGTCTCCCGGAGATATACCCATTGTTCGAGACTTTGTGGATGTCTTTCCCGATCAGCTCCCGGGAGGACCACCTAACCGCCAGGTGGAGTTCACCATCGACTTGGTCCCCGGAGCAGGACCAGTGTTGAAAGCGCCGTATCGCATGGCGCCAAAAGAGCTTCAAGAGTTGAAGGCTCAGATTCAGGAGCTGTTGAGTCTCGGTTTCATCCGACCGAGCGTATCACCTTGGGGAGCACCTGTCCTCTTTGTCAAGAAGAAGGATGGATCTATGAGGATGTGCATCGACTATCGGGATTTGAACCGGTTGACGGTGAAGAACAAGTATCCGCTTCCCAAGATAGAGGATTTATTTGATCAGCTGAGGGGAGCCAGTGTATTTTCCAAGATCGATCTCTGCTCCGGTTACGATCAGCTGAAGATCAGAGAGGCCGATGTGGCCAAGACAACGTTCAGAACTAGATACGGTCACTATGAGTTCGTAGTGATGCCGTTTGGCTTGAGCAATGCGCCAGCGGTATTCATGGATCTCATGAATCGTGTCTTCCACCCATTCCTGGACCAGTTTGTCATCGTCTTCATTGATGACATTTTGGTCTATTCCCGCAGTCCAGAGCAGCACGAGGAGCACTTGAGAACAGTTTTGGAGACACTTCGACGAGAGAAGTTGTACGCCAAGTTCTCGAAGTGCGAATTCTGGCTCGATCGAGTGGCTTTCCTAGGACACATTGTCACTTCCAGAGGGATTGAGGTAGACCCGAGCAAGATTGAAGCAGTTCGGAACTGGTCGACGCCGAGAAATGCCACCGAAGTTCGGAGTTTTCTCGGATTGGCAGGATACTATAGACATTTCATCGAGGGGTTTTCGAAGATTGCCCTGCCCTTATCTCGTTTGACGAGGAAATCGATGAAGTTTGAGTGGGATAGTCGTTCTGAGTCGAGCTTCCAGGAGCTCAAGGCGAGGCTTACGACGGCTCCAGTGTTGACCATTTTGGACCCCACATAGGGTTTCACTATCTATAGTGATGCCTCGAAGCAGGGTCTAGGCTATGTTTTGATGCAAGACGACAGGGTTGTGGCTTATGCTTCTCGTCAGCTAAAGTCGCATGAGGTGAACTACTCGACTCACGATCTTGAGTTGGCAGCAGTGGTTCACGCCTTGAAGATTTGGAGGCACTATCTGTACGGAGGCCATTGCGAGATTTACATAGACCACAAGAGCTTATAGTATATCTTCACCCAGAAGGAGCTCAACATGCGGCAACAGCGATGGTTGGAGCTGGTGAAAGATTATGAGTGTACCATTAACTATCATCCGGGCAAGGCGAACGTAGTTGCCGACGCCCTCAGCTGAAAGTGAAAGGGCGAACTGACCTGTATGATCACTCAGCAGCTTCAGTTGATTCATGAGTTCGCTCTGATGCAACTAGAAGTGGTCGAATCACCTCCTAAGTTGCCAGTTGTGGGAGGTATTCGAGCGATGAGAATGTGGCCCACGTTACGAGATAGGATCCGATGGGATCAAGCCTTCGACGAGTTCATCCGCTCGATGGGGGCGAAAATTCATGCCGTAGGAGTTGAGGGTTTTTACCGAGGCACTGATGGTGCCTTGGAATACAAGGGAAGGATTGTTGTGCCGAATGTCGAGGCCCTGAAGAAAAAGATCTTGACTGAGGGGCATAGTGCTCCATACTTGGCGCACCCCGGTAGCACCAAGATGTATCACGACCTGAAAAGGTCATTCTGGTGGAAGGGGATTAAACGAGATGTCGCCGAGTTTGTTGAGAAGTGTTTGATCTGCCAGCAAGTGAAGGCTGAGCACAAGGTTCCACCGGGTCTCTTACAGCTTTTAGAGATTCCACAGTGGAAATGGGAGAAGCTGACCATGGACTTTGTCATGGGATTATCGATGTCGGCCAAGCGCTACGGCGCAGTATGGGTAGTAGTGGATCGACTGACAAAGTCGGCCCACTTTATGCCCATCAGAATGGACATGTCCATGGAGCAGCTAGCAGATACGTACCTCCAGGGAATCGTTCGACTCCATGGCGTTCCTGCCGAGATTTATCCCAGGGGGCCATTTCTGGGAGAGTCTGAACGAGTCAATGGGGACGAAGTTGAAGTTTAGTTCTGCTTATCACCCACAGACCGACGGTCAGTCAGAACGGACCATCCAGACGCTTGAGGACATGCTCCGAGCTTGTGTCCTAGAGCATGGTGGTTCGTGGGAGCAGTTGATACCCACTGTGGAGTTTTCCTATAATAACAGTTATCACTCGTCGATCAAGATGGCGCCATTCAAAGCTTTATATGGTCGCAAGTGCCGCTCACCTCTTTATTGGGATGAGGTCGGCGAGAAGCAGGTTCTCGGTCCCAAGTTGATCGAGGACACAGTGCAGAAGGTCACCGAGATCCGAGCAACGTTGAGAGAGGCTCCGAGCCGACAGAAGGCCTACGCTAACAAGCGTAGAAGGGAGCTTGAGTTTGAGCAGGGAGATAAAGTGTTCCTGAAGGTCACGCCGATGAAGGGCGTCGTCCGATTTGGGAAGAGGGGGAAGCTGCAACCCCGAGTTGGCATAACAGCCTACCGTCTAGCGCTACCCACAGAGCTCTCGGGTGTACAAAACGACTTCCATGTGTCGATGTTGAGAAAGTAGGTGTACGATCCGAGTCACGTAGTGAACTTTGACGGGCTAGAGGTCGGGCAGAACCTGACGTATGATGAGCGGCCGGTAGCAGTTCTTGACCGAAAGGTCCGTCAGCTGAGGAACAGAGATATAGAGCTCGTCAAAGTTTGCTGGAGTCGCCACGACGAGTCGGAAGCCACTTGGAAGAGAGAGGCCGAGATCAGAGCTCGTTATCCCGATTTCGAGTTTTAAGATTTTTAGTTGTACATATATGTACTTTCTATTTTATGTTTGATGTATATAGTGTTGTAGTAGGAGTTCTGGCCTAGTACCTTAGTTTTGTATTTCCGAGGACGGAAATATTTTAAGGAGGATAGGTTGTAACGCCCCAAATCAGAAATAATATTAAGAACGGTTTTGCTGCTCGACTATAAGAAAAATCCGTAAGTTTTAGAATTTTCGAGTTATATTATATATGCAAAATGCTCAATTAAATCCTAAGTTTGATAGATCATTCTTGGGAATTCTCTATATTAAGTATAAGTCAAGATCAATCCACTAATTTGGATTGTTAAAATTATAGCAAATCGACTCGAGAAATTATCGGCTTCGAACCCTAGTTTAGTTCCAATTATTTTTTTCAAGTTATTTTCCGAGCATAGCCAAGTCTTGGTATATTTTATACTTAGAATAATTTCTAAGTGTGTGGGAATACCAAAGTTCATACCTTGGACATTTTAAAAATCAAGCCATAGTCCATACCTGTAATGCCCCGTTTGAATTATGTATTTTTCTGGACTATTTAATTATCTTATTTTAGTTTATTCCAGTAATTACTCGATAATTTCGATTAGACTTATTATTTTAATTAGAGGTTCTCGTCTAATTGATTTAATAAGTCGCGCTATTTTATTATTGTCAATCGCCAACTGGGTAATCGTATCGATCGAAAGTCCTTGTTATCGTGTTATTCTATCGGCCCAATTCATCGGGAATATTTTCGGTACATTCGAATATTTACTTTCGGCCCATACCTTTTGTAAATCAGCTTTGGCCCAATTGAGTTAAATTCTTAAGCCATTAGAAGATATATTTTCGGCCCCAACTCTTTTAATTATTCCTTTGACCCAAATCTATAACCCAGCAGATATTTATCTTCTCTTCCCCGTATGACCGAGTCCACCCATATCCATACCATTGGTTTTTCTGTTCCGATCGTTCAGTGATCTTTTCTCTCTCACGTTCGAATCTCGCTTTTAAAATCATCGAAAGGATTACTCGGTCTCTGAGAAATTCACAAATCTATATGATAGCAGGGTTTCTTCTCCAACCAGATTTTCCTTCAGATATCGATTGAATCCCAGATTTCAAATCACCATTTAATCCATCCTTCGATCGCCAATAATTCCAATTTCTCCCTCACAGCCCTTCGTCGGTCGTCCACTTAGCAGCAATTGGTGGGAGATTCTGAATAACGACAGCGAGAGTCATTGGAGGCCTTCTCCCTCTGCCAATCTTCGGCTGGACCAAACAACAGCCGTCGCCCCCTCTCGTCAACCCCGCACGCGACATCAAGGAGCAGCAATTTCCGTTCGCCAGCCCTTGCCGTGAAGCAACGACACCTTCCGACGAGCAGCAAGCCCCGCGATCCACCCTAGGTCCGCACACATCGGATACTTCAGAGCCTTGGTTCGCGTGAGATGATGCCGCCACGACCTTGAGCCCCAATTTTCGGCAAGTTCCCTTCTTCCCCGTGGAGTACCAATGAGAATCCTCGCGTTTCAGTAATTTCCGACGAGTTCGAGCTTTACCTCAAGTCGCGACGAGTCTCAACCCCGGCGAGCTTCACCACCGCCCGGTGACCATCGTCCGGTCACGTTGAACTTCCGGCGCGACCATGTCTGACCCTCGTGACTGAAATGACCTTTGGTGAGCGAATCTTACCGACGAACAGAGGAGAGTTTGAGCAGCGGGCTGAGCCAGTTTTGGACACTTTGATTGGCGTGACCATGTCTGACCCCGTCGTTTACGAGCAGCCGTTCTCAGTTCGGCGACCTTCGAGCATACTAGCGGCACCCCGTCGGCTTTCGGTTAGGGCCCGAACAGCAGCGGCAGCCCTTTCGGACCCGTGGGAGAATTTCGACAGCCCTTTCGGGCCCCGTACGAGAGTGCAGCAGCCGTCGAGGCCTCGCATCAGCGGCTGAGACCACCGGGAGCAAGGGGCGTTCATCCGAGGCGAGCCATGGCCGAGGCCTCCATCCCCGGTCCCTCTTTTGCTGCGTATAGTCCCCCGACGAGAGGTGATTTTCGCCAAATCCCCTTTTCTTTGTGAAATCCGGACCTTACAAGCTGTGTTATACATGGTGTGCTGTGTGAAATTTAGATACCCATGGATAGTCGGGAATGAATTTGGTGTTATTTTCTTGGGTGTTTAATTGTGTAATTGGATAAATAATGAACAGGAGAATGAGATACGCTTTCTTGTTGTTGGCTCGAGTTTCGGACTGTTTTGCTGAGATAGTATGATGCGTTTTAGCATACTGTACATGGATTATTTTTAGAGATTTTATTTCGGTTATTTGTTCCTTGAATGTTATTTACTCAAACATGAGAAAAGAAAATGAAAGATAGGCTTATTGGGTTGTTTTCCTTAGCCATTTGTGATGTTGTTGCTGAAACTTATAGTGTCTCTTAGCATGCTTAGCTTAGATGTTAACTGAAGAGAAAATGGGAAGATTATATGTTATGTTTTGTGCCGTGTTTGAGACCTTAATATGATGCCTCTGATGCATGAGAAAAGTGGGTGATGATGAGGCTATGTTGTGCTTATTTGGCCGAGTTATGTGATACTTTTGGTGAGCCTGATGAAGTCATTTTATGTTTTAAGTAGTGTTGTTATGTACATGTTCAAAGCCTTTAATCTCAGTTATAGATGCCTTATGACTTGTGTTTAAATATGAGAAAACGAAAAGGGTGAAAGCACGATTTTTGTATGTTCTTGTGATGTTGGCCGAAGTATACCCTATTTGGTTGAAGCATATATATATTGTGATTTTTTTAACTTGCTAAATTAGAGGTGATTGTAGGCTTTTATTTCGGTCCTTACAACCTAAGTGACTTGGTGTGGGTTTTTGCCTTAGTTGATATTGAATTGTGCATGAGAAAAGAAAATAGATAAAGAAATGTGAATATATGTGGTGTTATTTTCCCGAGCCGTGTAAATGGTGGGTTTTGTTGAAGTCTTTAGAGTGCTTTACTCATGCTGTCAAAGTAATATTTATAGGCTATAGCATGTGTTCTGTATAGTTTATTTGATTACCTATTCCGCTAGACTTTTTATGTATATTTTATGAGTGGTTACTATGTGCATTTTATTTTATGAGTTTTAGTTGTTGGTTTGTGTGGCCTAGTCAACCCAATCAAAACCCTTAATAATAAAAATTCATAATTTTAGGTTCCCGAAGAGTCGAGCTCTCGAACCTACCTTGAACTTTTGCGCATTTGTCAATGTCGGACCAGGTGGGTTTAATGTAAAATTGTCTATGCTGTAAATATTATTACTGTTTTAAATTTTTGGTATGATTAAGTATGCGTGTGGAATATGTAGCCTTCGATGTGAGCTGTACCGGCCGTCGAACGGTTATCCCCGTCTCTATAGAACGTACCCGTTGGGTAGTCTCCTTATTATTGTGAGCCGTAAGTCCTGGGTTAAAGGTCCCTGTGCTGGACATATTTTGAGCCGTAAGTTCTGGGTTAAAGGTCCCTGTGTTGGACACATTTTGAGCTGTAAGTCCTGGGTTAAAGGTCCCTGTGCTGGACACATTTTGAGCCGTAAGTCCTGGGTTAAAGGTCCCTGTGCTGGACAACTCCGTTGGTAAGACCAAGGTGAGGCCTTGGCCGGCGGGTTACTCCTACTGGCCGGACACTCGTTGTAAGGCCTTAGATAAGGCGTTCGGTATATAGTTCGGCAGTAGTCTATTGTTATAGGTGTGCACATGAGTCTATTATTGATATGATTGATAGGAGGTTGGGACAATTAATTGATTCGTATACATGCTGAGACCATACCTTTTTGATTATTGATTTCTGTTTCATTATTACGAATAATGTTTACTGCATAGTGGTGAGCACTACTTTTTCCAACTGTGCTCATCCCCACCTGAAATTCACGTTTCAGGTTAAGCGAGGCAGGTACGACGGTGGAGTAGAGCGAGTGGTGGTCGGTCTATAAGACTGGCCTTATTATTTGTTATGCTACCGCATTTATGAACTGGTTTTATGATTATGAACTTGGGGTATTATTGGATTTATGAATTTTGGATTTTATGACTGAATAATGTTAAGGAGATGCTCCTTAGAATTTATGAATATTGTTGGAACCCGATTTGGGTGATGATTTATGAAATTTTGGAAAACCCGTTTTTGGGAAGTAGTATTATTGATGATGATTGATGATTGAGTTTGATAAATGATCGAGTATTGAAAAATTGGTTAGTATTGAAGTTTGATTTAAAAAGGGGGTAACGCCTCAGGTGCTTCGAAATAAATTTGAAAAACTTTATTTTGATTTTTGGCAAATAAAAGTGGGGCGTTACAGTTTGGTATCAGAGCCAGTCTGCGTTTCTGTAGACTGGTGTACTTGAATTATGTGAACTGTGAAAATATGTGATGTAAGTTATGACCACTCGCTTCCGTCGTGCCTCGCCAACTCAGGTATGAGATTTCTGATTAAGTTAAATTGATTATGTTGCCTGATTTATGGATAGAATGATATGATGTGAAATATTGGGATATTATGATATGTAAACCGGGGCTTAGGAATTTATCCTCCTACTTTTAAATGTTCTGTAACTTTAGATGGGTGGCGAACCTTAATTGTATGAACTTGAGCTCTAGCGATATAGAGTTAAGTTCTGCCTTGAGGTTTTGTTTGTTTAGAAATTTGGTGTGGTGTTATCGAGCTGAGTTCTGTGTATAACAGTCCTCTCGATGCATTTTGGTGTCTTCAGAAGAGGACCATCCACGAGCGATTTCCAGAGCCAGCGGGACTTACCAAGAGCAGCTTGAACCGATATGAAAACAGTGAATCGTGGACTCGTGAAGACGAAGCAGTCGTGCTGCCTTTCTTAAATTCTTGTCTTCTTGCATACCCTTGCAAACTTTTTTTTTTTTTTTTTTTCATTCACATGACAAACAATTTTGAAGTATGATGGAGGTTTCTTCTTGGTAACCAAATTTCGTATTTTGAGGATTTCGTTTAATCTTCCCCTATTTTTGATTCGCTATGTAAACTATTTTAAGCCTCCCAACTTTAAAAATTTGCTTCTCTCGAGGTTTAGCTAATTCAGGTTTATCTATGTTGGGAACTGACTTTGTTTTGAAAAACCTGATTGAGATTAAGCATCTTTTTGTTTCTGCTTATCTTTATTCGCTTGCGAAATATGTGAGTTTCGTTCCAATGCCATCGCTGAAATATCACGAAGACTCGAGGGCACCACTTTTGTGAATAACCAAACCTCGAGGGGGACAATTATTATTCACGATCGGCATCAAGATAAACACACAGGAGCTGAAGTCGGCACAAATCAGTTCGATAGGAAGATGGATTGTTTTTCCACCTTAAAAGATTATGCAGAAATCTATTAAGGAGGATAGTCGAGGCTGAAACAAGCACATCGTGTAGCGCAGTACCGTCATTATTCTAAATTTTGTTCGCCGTAAAGAATTTTTGTTCTTTTCCTCCTTTCGGAATCCCGGGAGGAACTTCGCGTTCAAATTTCTAAGTGTGAAGATTGAGAAGTGAGTTGCGCTCGTTTAGGACTGCTGACCCGATTAGCTACCCGAGGAAGAGCTGACGTGTCGGCAGGCGCTGTTAGTCGAAAGAGCCGAAGCGAGCTATCTATTTAATGACTCGGCAGAAGCCACTGACTTAGAGAAAATCGCCATGAGAGTTCTTTTGAGATTTCTCGTATCGTTAGATCTGTGGCATATTGCGTTTTGTTGTAGGAAGTTGGTGGACTTGGAACTCGAGCTTTCACCTTGCTATTTTTGAGACCTTTCGAAACTTTAAAATTTGTGAAATGCCTGATACATAAATTGTTTTGTTGATCCCAAAATTTTCGAATTCGGTAAAACCATTCCTTTTTTGTAGCCTTGAATTGTAATTTCTTGTGGAAACCTGAACCAAACCCCGACCCTGGCTGGGTGTAGCCACGCGAAGTGGTGGCCGAGCACGCACGACCATGCTGAGAGACGGGAGGCTTGCGCGCGGCCGACCGTTGACTCGCATGCGAACTGCAGCCGCCATCACCGTACGCACGAACTCCCCAGACCAGCGTATACGGCCAGCCATCGATGTTTTACTGAACTGTTGAAACCATTTCATGCTGAAATACTTGGTTATCCATTTGAACCCTCTTTCGTTCGAATTTTGAACCGAGAGCTCCAAGTCCCACTAAATGTGTGTAAATGCTTAATCGATGATTTTTGATTAAGGAGTGTAGTCGATAAGTCCCTATGCTTTACTTGAGGGTTTCTCGAGTCGGCAAATTGGGAATGTCGTGTTGCTTTGGGTCGAGCCTTATGTTTGTGCATAAGGGTTGCGTTCGACTCGTAGAGTCGATATCATGAGAATGTGAGCTTGATGGTGTCGTGCTTTATGTATGTGGTACCGTGTCGTTGTCTCTGATAGAGACACGCGGCCGTGATGAAATCGTGAGCAAGTTGTCAGTGTGACTCGGGTACGAGACTGAAACTTGGCGTCACGTGTCCACCTTGATGGTGAGGCAGTCGGAGTACGCTAGCAATACACCAATTGACCTGTTAGGGTCTTGTGTGTTGTTAGGTACGAAGCAACTTGTTGATACTCATGGGTATAGGCCAAGCCGGATTGAGTCCCTTGCAAGAGGATGTGCACCTGAGCTTGGGCAGGATTGATCACCCTCCCATGCAAGAAGGTAAACATATGAGCATAGGGCGAGTCGGATTGGATCATGTACGTGAGTGTATGCC